TATAATATAATTAATTCACCCCACCTCCACCACTCCTGCTGTTCCGACGATCGTTCGGCGGCTACTCTGATTCCGGCGACTATTCTGATGACCGTTTCGATTCCGGTGAATATTCCGATGACTGTTCCGCCGTCGATTTATTCTGACGACTGCTCCGACTCTGGCGACTATTCCGATAACAACAACGCCATACTTTTAAAGTCACAGATTTATACGAGATGGTCACAAATTCACAATTTTGTAGGTCATAGTTCAAAAATTTTGTAAGTCACAATCAATTCGTTAGTCACAAATCAAAATTTATAATTCACACGGTCACAAATTTTCAAATTAGTTGGTCACAGATTATATAATTTTTAGGTCACGAATTATTTCGAGATCACAAATCAATAGTTTCATAGGCTACATATTATTTTATTGGTCACGAATCCAAAAATTACAGGTTACAGTTATCTATCAGTCATATATTTTTAAATTTATTGGTCACAGATTAATTTTTAGTCACAATTTTAAGGTCACAGTTAGATTTTTTTTTTTTTGTGACCACTACCGACTTTTGTGAACACCCCCGAGACCACCAACGACTTCTGTAACCACCCTCTTGACCATCACCGTCGTTGTCGCCAGAACCAACCGCACCACCCCATGACCACCATCAACTTTTGTGACCACCCCCATGCCACCACCCCACCCCGCCACCGCCGCATCACTGTCGTGGCCAAAACCACCATCGCCAACAACCACACAAATCATCCACTGCAAAACCACCTCACAATATCCACCACCAACATCACCAAATACACCTGCACCACCACCAACATAAAAAAACCCTAAAAACCACCTCCACCACCAACTACAAAACCACATATCCACAATCACCAACACCGCACAATCACCAACCACAAAATCACATGTCAACAATCAATGTAAAACCCTAAACCTAAACTATCATCACCAACACCGCCTTCGCCATCACTAACCAACAATCACCAGCGACGAAGAGAGACGGGATAACAGCGATGGAGAGGCATCGCTGTGAACGCCGCTTCATTTTTAGATCTACCGTCAATCGTCCCCAAAAACCCGACGCTAATTGCTTCTGTGATGATGCCGTCGGTGGGGAGAGAGTGAGGCTTCACGACGGGGCAGAGAGAGAGAGAGAGAGAGAGGTGAGGCTTCGTAGAGAGAGGTGCCGACTTACCTGAACCCCAATCCCTATCGCTATTCCTGTAGAACTACTCAACAAATTCTCCCTCTAAAACCGCCTCGTTTGACGGAGGTGATATTGCCGCCACCGAACAGAGCCTCCACCAGGCTCGCCGCATCCTT